AGGCACTTCATTATTGAATCAAAACCCACAAAAACTTAAATTGCCTTGACCAGCTCTAGTTGTAAGAGAATTTCAGATTTTATGAGCTTGAACTAGATTATCAGTGATCATTGAATGACATTGATGTTGTTCATAAATCTTCTAGCAAAACCAGACAGACGGTTTGGTCAAAATTACTTTTATTTCCATACTCACACCAGTGACTCGCCTCATTAAAGTTCAGCAAACATTTCTCGTGCATATTTGTTTTGAATTCAATGCGCACTTTACAAACAAAACCCGCAGCAAGCACGTATTCAAATAAAATCATTGCAACGAGAGCATCGAAATTAGTCTCTGTTTCAACTGATATGAAGACTTAATTGGGTGGAAATTTTCATCAATCAAAAGTCAAAAACCTGTTCCTTGTTCTGTCTTTTATTCCCTTCCCCTCTTCACAGGCTACAAACCTACAATGATTCTGCAGGATCATCTTCAAACAACCAGAATGATCGCCTAGACTCAAAGGCAGACACATTTGATTTTACATTAAAGGGATAAAATTCACTGTGAAAAAAAAAAAAGAACATGCAAAGTTATCATGCTTTTCCACAAAGGCTTTCCCCGCAACTCTCATGCCTCTTTTTCATTCTTCCCAATAGTTCCCAAGTTAATATCCTTCTCAATTTCTGGACCAATTTTTTGTATAGTGGCATTGCCAAATAATAAATTAAATAATAATAAGGTGCATTATTATTGTAGAAATAATTCCAATGGGACCCAAAAGTGGAAGCGTTAGGAAAAAACATATACAGACTTGATATTATGATTGTGAATTACTGCTATATATCAATCATGGAACACAGGATAGATCTAAAATTATTATGACTTTTATTGCATCAAAAAATTGGTGGGTATAGTGTGTTCATGTGTGGGCTAGCCCAGCATCGGGACCCCTTGTTCTTGATGCATGGTATAGCATCTTAACTATGGGACAACCACCCACATGGGACCCTGATCCCCTTGATGTTAATAGAAGATCCCATGCTTGACCCACTCTGAGGCGCCATGACTCAAAACATAGAGCAATCCTGCTCGTCCATGTGGTAGATCTCTTCTCTTTCCTTTCTTAAAGAAAAGCTTGCTGCTTGGTAGTAAACTTGTTGTTGACACGGACATGTTTGTCATTTGTTGATCTACGTAGTTTTCCATAATACATTGAATCAAAGTGTCTTTCTATGATTATATATAGATGTGATTTAAAAGTGACAGGAAGTGGATCCCCACCCCGAGACTGTCTAAATTAATTCTATATGATGATTCTAAAACTTGATGCAATCCCCCACAAAACCTAAAATATTTCCATTTGATGAAAATGTTTTATCGCTTAAATGTTAGCAAAAGTTTAAAACCTTAAGGCAACTGCCTTGGCCCACACTTTGATTGTCTAGAAGGTCATCAATGTATGTGTAGAAGGTTTTTATGTATTCTATTTTCTTTGACACTTTGATTTCCACAAGCATATGCACCCCATTGTTGCAGCATTTCCTAGCTTAGAATTCAACACGATTCTCCATTTCCAAAAATAAAAAAGAAGATATAAATTCGTACTTCATTATAAATTTTTTAAATTTCTTAAATAAATATTTAACTTAAAATTAACTAATAATAAGTTTTTCTTAAATAAACTTATCACATAACATAAATTATAAAAAGATCTAAAGAATGACTCTTATTATATTTAAAATTCTAATTAAAGGTCTCAATCTCATATCAATGTCATATAAGTTTGTTTATGTTAATTTTTAGACTCTTTTTGGGAAAAAAGGTTCCAAGTTTCCATATTGATTATCAAGAACAATTAGCAGCCAACCAAGTAGGTCCAAAATGGTGGTGGGTAGACCCTTGGCACAGTGTGCTGAGTGCAGCTGCATGGCCAAGATGAAACGAGCCGCCAACCTGGAAAAAAATGCACCACGTACTCCATCAGCAGTTTCTTTCTTTTTTTGACGCAGTCTAACCAATGTCTCGAAGCAGTGGCTGTTGGTCCCTCCATGGCTTCCACTCATCTCCCCATAGCCAAAAATATCGTTTTTGTAAGGCCATCAGATAACGCTTGCTCCAATTGCAGGCGAGTGAGGTAACTCAATTGGCCACTGTTGACTCAACATTCGCTTTTAAGTAAACGTTTCTTGATAAACATTTTAAAGGTAGAAAAATTTGAAGATTCCTTTCAAATGAGTTAAGTCACACGCTTGATTTAAGAGAAATCATGGGTCATTTTCTTCTAGTAAACCTTTTTTTGGGCACAATTATTCTAGCAGAAGTTGCTACGATATTTATGTTGTCTGCCCAAACTTTAATTTCCTACCTTACATAATTCTAGCAATATATGCAACTCAGGAAGGGAGCTCGGAGATTAATTTCCACCCTTATTTTGCTTACCAAACTCTCCTTTACATCTTTACTTTGGTTCATAAATCCAGTTGTTGGAATTCACTTCAAATTCTAGCAACTAAAGGAATTCCCATTTAATATTTTACTGTAATGTACTGCTGCTGCTGCTGCTGCTGCTGCTGCATGGCTTTGATACAAGTACTGACACCAACCTCTTAACAACAAAATTAAGACACTGTAATGTGTAATTAGGAAGGAGGGGAAATGGAAGAAATACTGTTTCATGCGCAAAGAAACTGTAGAGAATAGAGATAGTTCACCATTGTCCGTTTCTTTCCCTAAAGAATCTCGGACCAAAACAAGAACCTGATCCTGACCACATGGTTAAGGCAAGTGTCTTGACACAGGGCCTTATAGTGTAAAACTAACCTGTTTCGGGTAAAAAGTTCCCCGAGAATCTGGAATCCTGTGGAAATTTGTGTACACGAGAATTTTGTGAAGAAAAGTAAATTTTGTTACAAATCGGACAACTTTCACTGTTCTCATTGACTTTTCGAGTCACAGTGTTGATCTTTCCGTATTTCTATTTCCCTTCAATATCCAACACTTCCTCCCAATTCCTCCGAATCCATTTTCCTTCTTCTGGGTTCCAGTTATTTTATATAAGATCTTAACATCCATATTCTCAATGGAAGATGAAACCTAATTTTTACCGTCAAATTTAATCTACCAGGATGGAAATTGGAACTGTTATGAATACTGCAAACCATTCAATGGAATCACGATTCTCATGTTGCACAACTCCTTTTCCTTTAATCTGAAAATAGAAGTCAAACACCGGAGACAAAGTCAAACCAAATAAAGAGAGAAGGAATCACGTTGGGTCCACTCCGAGTAGGTGTAGTAAATTTTTCAAGTTTCCTCGGGTCGAAGCCATGGTGTCTGGTTCTGAACTGCATTGGCTGCGCCTCTTCCCAACTCCAGAGCCAAATGCTTCGACCAATTACAGCCACTTGTTTCACGCCTTTCATGTTATCTACATATCGCGTTCCCATTAATAAAATTTGATGTATCTTTTGTCTAGCAGGAGGAAAGATACTACCAACAAGCACTGTTTCCTACTTTGCTTGCGCCACTTGGAGGGATATTTATTTAACATTATACTTTTTTGAATTTCAAATTAATCTCCAATAAGTTAAATGAATTATCAATGGGAGTTGGTTCATCTCAATATAAGTGATTTTGGGTTTCTATCTTATCCGTAATTTTTAATTGTTATTTGTGTTAATTTTGAACGTATGAAAAACGAAATATTTTATTTTAATTTGAAAAGCCGAACAATTCATTTAGTTCAGATTTACTATTAGTATCAAGCTTTGTTGACAGTTGTGTATTAAGATTGTATTACTCCCGTTAGGTAGGAAAATGTGAAATATGTTGCACATGCATGGAAATTGGTCAAGACTTCATTTACTTTTTTCATTCCCTAACTTACACTTCAGACTCGTAGTCAAATGTTTTTACTTGAAGTTGGAACAAAATAGATAGTTAATTGCTTAAATCAAAGCATTAAATGTTATTTGAGATTTATCCCATGATTGTCATTCGATCAGGTCAAAGTTTCCATGAAAAGTACAAATACTTAAGAACTTTTTTCTCTCTTTTTTTATTAATGAAAACCCCCCACTTTTCATTCTTATGACCTCAACTTCCCAATCTTAATACTATAAAGTTACACCCTACTATCAATATTGGAGGGCTATTAAGTAGTTACCCTCACCTCTTCAATGAACACATTCCATTGTTTATTCTCATTGGTGGGTCGCTTTATTTCTTCTTAAATTTATCATTGAACTCATTCCTAGTTATTGAAAGACCTAAATTAATTAATGAAGTTGTAGAAACACACTTGAAAACGTCGTGCCTCCATTGCTTATTGCATGCGAGCAACGGACCAACCGTTGATTCAAATCTTTGTCTCCATTTTGGCACAGTACAAGGGCATCAAAAGAGTCCAAGAAATGGTGCCAATCTTGGTTCCTGAACCTTGACTCTGCCTCTGATACGACGTGGTATTAGTTTGAGATTAGAAGAGCATCCACCTTTTTATTGCAAGACGAGAGGGGGAGGCTTACTTTAGATCAGTCTGTTCAGAGTCTAAAACCAGTCAGGGCCAACAGCATCCCTATTGCTCGTTAATACGGAGCTCCACGCGTGACTTAAAAGGACTACTGCGGAACAATTGCTCTGTTTTTTGTGTGCGCGCGCAATAAAACAGAGTTTAATTAGTCATTGTCTGATATTAAACTAGTAGTAGGCTCTTCTCTGTCTCTCAAAATCTCCACCACCAGATTTTTATCATCCTCGAGATCATTGCCACCCATTGCCTCCCCCTGATGCGACCGATGTGAAGCACTTTTTGGCTTCCTCTGCCCGTTTCTTGTCGCCAGCCGTTGATTCTCCGCTAAAAAAAAAAACAAAAAAACAAAAGAAACCCTTTTTACGTCATTTTCTTCGCTTTCAGTTTTACAATTCAAAAAAAAAAGAAGAAGAAAAAACCTAACTTTTTTCAATATTATTTTTTTCTCTCCCCCCATGATTCTGTTTAAAACCCAGCATAGACCACAATGAAAATGCACACATCATAACACCCCCACTCTTCTTCTCTCTGTTTCTCTCTCTTACAGCATACACACACATTCATTCCTGTCTCTCCAATGGCAAAACACAATCCTTCTCGTTCAAAAAGCTTACTCCAACTCTCTCTCTTTGGCTGACTCAAATATATTCACGCACAAATCACTTCACTTCCTCATCCTTTCTCTTCTCCTCTGCCCCTCGCCTTAGCAAAAATGCTTCTCCTTTTCCTTTCGTTTCTCTTCTTCACCTTTCCCCCACCTTCACTTTCTCTCAACCAAGAAGGCCTCTACCTTCTCCAAGTGAAGGCCTCCCTCGCCGACCCTGACTCCGCCCTTTCCTCATGGAATCCTCGTGACCCAACCCCATGCAACTGGCGTGGCGTTTCCTGTGACTCAGCCACTGGCTCCGTCACTTCCCTCAACCTCTCCAGCACCAACCTCGCCGGCCCTTTCCCTTCCCTCCTTTGCCGTCTCCAAAACCTTACCTACGTTCCTTGTACTACAACAACATCAATTCCCCATCCCTTCCGACATCTCCACGTGTCAAAATCTCACTCACCTTGATCTCGCCCAGAACCTCCTCACTGGTGAACTCCCCCACACTTTAGCTGACCTCCCAACCTTAAATACCTGGAATTAACTGGTAACAATCTATCGGAGAATATTCCGGAGTCTTTCGGTCGGTTCCAAAGGCTTTGAAGTTTTGTCACTCGTTTACAACCTCCTAGACGGTACAATCCCCGCCTTTTTGGGAAACATTAGTACCCTAAAAATGCTCAATTTGTCGTACAACCCTTTTAGTCCGGGTCGGATCCCACCGGCGCTTGGCAACTTAACTAACTTGGAGATTTTGTGGCTCACCGAGTGTAATTTAGTTGGCGAGATTCCTGACTCGCTGGGTCGACTCAAGAAACTCACCGATTTAGACCTGGCTATTAACCACTTAGTGGGCAAGATCCCGAGTTCTCTCACTGAGTTAACCAGCGTAGTTCAGATTGAACTCTACAACAACTCGTTGACCGGCGAACTACCTCGCAGGTTCTCGAATTTGACCAAGCTGAGATCCTCGACGCGTCGATGAACCAGTTAACGGGAACGATTCCGGACGAGTTGACGCAGCTGCCACTTGAAAGTCTCAATCTTTACCAGAACAACTTCGAAGGAGCATTACCACCGAGTATCGCCGACTCACCAGCTCTGTACGAACTCAGAATCTTTCAGAACCGACTCACCGGGGAGTTACCCCAGAACCTCGGCAAAAACTCGCCGCTTAGGTGGCTTGATGTCTCTAACAACCAATTTACCGGTCTCATACCGCCGAGTTTATGCGAGAAAGGGAACCTAGAAGAGATTCTAATGATATACAACTCGTTTTCGGGTCAACTACCGTCGAGTTTAGCCGAGTGTCGGAGTCTGAACCGGATCCGACTTGGTTACAACAAATTATCTGGTGAAATACCCGCCGGGCTCTGGGGTCTCCCACACGTTTATTTGCTTGAGCTGGTTAATAACTCGTTCTCGGGGCAAATAGGGAAATCAATTGCAAATGCAGCGAACCTATCGCTTTTGTTTATCTCTGGGAACGAGTTTACGGGATCATTGCCCGAAGAAATTGGTTCAGTTGATAATTTAGTTCAAATTTCGGCCGGTGAAAATAAGTTTAGTGGGCCGTTGCCAAAAAGTATAGTGAAGCTTGATGGATTAGGAATTCTTAATCTTCATGGGAATGAGTTGGAAGGGGAATTGCCTACTGGAATCGAGTCTTTGAAGAAGTTAAACGAGTTGAATTTAGCTAATAACAAGTTTTCAGGGAAAATTCCGGATGGAATAGGGAGTTTATCGGTGCTGAACTATCTTGATCTGTCGAATAATCAGTTCACGGGGAGAATTCCGCTCGGTTTGCAGAACTTGAAGCTTAATCAGCTTAATCTGTCCAATAATTTGTTATCTGGTGAGTTGCCGCCTTTGTTTGATAAGGAAATGTATAAGAATAGCTTTTTAGGGAATCCTGGTTTGTGTGGGAATTTTAGTGGTTCGTGTGTTGGTAGGGACGGAGATAAGCACAAAGGTTATGTTTGGTTGCTCAGATCCATTTTTGTTTTAGCTGCTTTGGTGTTTGTTGTTGGTGTGGTTTGGTTTTACTTCAAGTATAGGAATTATAAGAAAGCAAGGGCTATTGACAAGTCTAAGTGGACTTTGATGTCCTTTCATAAGCTGGGTTTTAGTGAATATGAGATTTTGGACTGTCTTGACGAGGACAATGTGATAGGGAGAGGATCTTCAGGGAAAGTTTACAAGGTTGTGCTTAGTAATGGGGAGGCTGTTGCCGTAAAGAAGCTTTGGGGAGGAGCGAAAAAGGGTTGTGAGAGTGTAGATCTTGAGAAAGGTCAGGCTCAGGTTCAGGATGATGGGTTCCAAGCTGAGGTCGAGACTTTGGGGAAGATTAGGCACAAGAATATTGTTAAGTTGTGGTGTTGTTGTACTACCAGAGATTGCAAGCTTCTGGTGTATGAGTACATGCAGAATGGCAGCTTGGGTGATTTGTTGCATAGTAGTAAAGGTGGTTTGCTGGATTGGCCGACAAGGTACAAGATTATTGTGGATGCAGCTGAGGGGCTTTCTTATTTGCATCATGATTGTGTGCCTGCGATTGTGCATAGAGATGTTAAGTCCAATAATATCTTGTTGGATGGGGATTTCGGTGCTCGAGTGGCCGATTTTGGTGTTGCCAAGGTGGTTGATGCAGCTGGAAAGGGTGCTAAATCCATGTCTGTTATTGCAGGGTCCTGCGGTTACATTGCTCCAGGTTAGTTTTTGAAATCTTTACTGTCAGTCTTCTGATTTACTGTTTTAATGTAATTCTTTTACTCTGCCACTTTTAGTTTTTACCAAGACCTTTGAATGCACATTCGGAAGTATCTAGATAATAACTATTTAAAGCAACCGTTAATGTGAAACTTTAACTGCAACAAACACCATATATGTCCATTTATTAGTTGGTATTCATCTCTAGGTTGTACTGAATAATACGAGGATCCTTAATTAGAGTCCTTCCTTGATACTTTAATATGTCTTACTGGTTTTGATTCTCGAATAAATTTTGATATTAATGATGTTAGAGACATTGCCTTATAAATCTCCTTCAATTGGCTCTGCAAATATTTTAATGTTACTCATTCAGTGCATGTGTTATTTTTCGCTCAATAGTACTAACCTCTCTACAAAATATTTTGTTGCAGAGTATGCATATACGCTTCGAGTGAATGAGAAGAGTGACATATACAGTTTTGGGGTTGTTATACTTGAGTTGGTCACAGGCAGACTTCCCATTGACCCGGAGTATGGGGAGAAGGACCTGGTAAAGTGGGTCTGCACCACTCTAGATCAGAAAGGAGTGGACCATGTTCTTGATTCCAAACTCGATCCTTGTTTCAAAGAAGAAATATGCAAGGTCCTCAACATCGGCCTCCTCTGTACCAGTCCGCTCCCAATCAACCGCCCGTCAATGAGAAGGGTGGTTAAGATGTTGCAAGAAGCAGGTGCTGAGAGCCAGCCGAAGGCTGCTGCTAAAAAGGATGGGAAATTGACTCCTTATTACTATGAAGATGCCTCAGATCAAGGGAGTGTAGCTTGAGGAAAAATTTATCCTCGTATAGCTTGTTGCAAAAACAGAGCCACAAGGGTGATACGCCCCTTTTTTTTCTTGCTCTCAAGTTTTGCTTGTCAATCATTGTACCCACTTGATGTTTGCTTTACAGGTTGCTTTAGCGGGGAGGAAAGACAGTAGATGTTGAAATTTACACTGTGAAAGAGAGAGAGAGAGAGAGAGAGAGGCAGATTTATTAAGGAGTTAATGCACACTGTAAATTTATAAACAATGAAGGTTTTATTCCACGTCTACAAAACGGCTGGTTGCTGCCTGCGTTACCATGTTAAGGACTTGAAAACAATGTGCACGCTGATGGAAGTGATGCTGCAGAGTTATGGCTAGCATCTCAGTCGGGTGATATTTGTTTCACCAACGACCTTCGTAAACACACCCTGTGAAACATGAGAAGATCCCATTAAAGGGAAAATTATCCAACTTAAACCTGTGCCATTGTCAGTTAAAATTGGTTGGACTTACTCTTAGCTGTGAGATTTTACAGTGGCTTATCCCTTTTGTCTATAATCAAATCACCTACATACAATAACTGGGATAGCTATAAATCTGTTAATGAAGTGGTAGGTGAGGTTGGTCCTCCATGGGCCCTAACCATTAATTCCAGTGGCATTCTTGCTTCTGCTGCTTTTATTGCTATACTTGTTGCGACTTGATCCATTCATCATTTTGGAAAGTGCCTAAGGACAAGACCCACGGTCCTGTATTGCGGCCTTAGGCTGTCTAACTTGTCATTTTGCATTAGTTGGTTGGTTGTACCTCTATAAATTTACCAGCCTCTTAATATTTATTGCAACCATAAAGCATTTCCTAGGATTTGACATTATAATTATGCACATTAAACCAACACCCAAATCTACTTTCGCTGCTCTCATTTGCTCTGCAGTGATCCATAATGCTTCCCAGAATTTCGAGTGCCGCGTGTGTACTTTTCAGCGGGAAACTTGAGATGAAAGCAGCTGTCCCATATAAACCAAAATCCCAACATAATGGGCCAGTGTTATACGCTGGTTTTTTGTTTCTTCCGAGAGTTAGGCGAGGCTTTGCTTTCAGCATATTATTCAGAAAGCTCTGTATATACCCCTATCTATTACAACTGCTTTCATACGATTGATTTTGGTCTTTTTCTTTGCAGCTCATCCTCTTCTTCTGTTGCGTTACTTCCCTCTGATATTTTGTTGCCAAAAGAAGGAACACCGATTGCTAAGGATAATTGATTTCCTTAATTTCACTGTCTCTTTCTAACATTACATGATCTCAAGTGGAAACAAATTTTTACGACGTCGAAGTTTGCGGTAAGTGGAATCCCGTTAGCAACGTTAGGAAATAGGAATATCTCTGCAAATAATCCTTGTTGCGGGGGAAGGCTATACATGGACCACGCTAAGCCAAAATAAAGAAATGGCGTAAAGTTTTGTTGCTGCTCCTAAACTGCTGCTACTTCTAGTTGCATTGTAGCTCACATCTGTCGGTTCTCTCCTTTACTTTAATATTACAGAGACATATCTAAGTTCGAATTTTGACCCTTTGTGGGTTGAGAACAAATCCGACCGAAATTTGGGTGGGTTTTACAAATCCTGAAATCCGTGGGCTGCTATCAGTGCACGAGTGGCTTCAAGGTCTGAAAATGCCATCTCCCTACCGCTTCTGAACGCATTGAATCCAGCTCCTTGGTAATTGGGGTAGGTCTACCCAGAGGGACCATCGTCGATGCGTCAAAATCCATCGAAAATTGTCTCCCACTTTTTCTTATGGTCCCATATCTAGCCTAGAAGTATGGAAAGATTCTTTCATTCAAATGATCTCCACATATTTGAACTCTTTTTTCTCAATCCGAATTTGAAGCTTTCTTTGGTCCAGGGAGAAAAGAAAAAAGTACCGGGAAAAATGAGTCAAAACACAAGGCAAGGCTCACTCATGAAGCCCATATGGGTGGACTAGGTCCGATAGAGAATGAGGCCCCAAATGCCTGATAACAATTCCTGCCAAAAGTTTCGCCACAGTGGGAAACTATATTCTGGTCCAAAAGAATTTATGGGTCTCAACTAGGACGGCCTGTTTCAGTAAACTTGCTCTTTAACAGGGCCCTGAGTTGGGTGAAATCTGCTAAGTCTACTAACCTATTCCCTGATTTATTCCATTCATATTTGACATTACCTATCCTTTTAATTCATGCTTAATCAGATTATTTAGCATATCCTCTTGAATAATAACATTTTTTAAGGTTCCATTATTTATTCTGACACTTGCTAATGTTAATTTCCTAAGTCCTGCATTAGTTGCTGCAAAATCCCAAGTACAGTGTTATACAAGAAAAAAGAATAATCCGAATTTAATAGTAATAAATCGTTGCTGTGTCTTGCATAAAAACCTTTGATCTAAAGTCAGCAGAGAGAGTGCCAATATTTTACAGGTCTATAAATATTTGCTGACATGAAAGAGATGACAAGCATTTAAATCCTGTGTTAGGTACATGCATTTGCTGGGTTAAAATTATATGCTTTCAAAATGCTCTAAAGCTACTTCCTTCTACCAAAACTTCAGCCATACTTTAAACGTTTAGGTACGAGCTTGACAAAATAGTACCTGCGTTTGTTGCAACTAAACTGTGATTCAAATGATTGGTAAATTATCGTTGTGTTTAGTTGAGATTATTGAGGCTGTAATTTTCAATTAATTAATGAAAGATAAAATGAAACTTGTGTTACTAATGATGTCTATCCAATATGGATATGACAAATATAAACAAAAGAGATGTGCCTTGGATGGAAAGTTGAAGGTACCAATCTTTCATTATCCATATCTCAATCAGCATGAGATATTTTTTACCACTGCACATTCTCAATTCTTGACAAGTTAGCTACTATACTTTGCAGAATTAAAGAAAGGGCAAGCCTATGAATTAAGAACTAGCTAGCCACCTAAGCATGATGACAAAGCAAAGGACAGACAAGATTACTGATCAATTCTCATCAGAATCTGTCCAAGAAACGCATGTTTGCTGGGTCTCAAATTTTCAATTACTCCGAAGCTCGTCTGGTTACAACTTAAGTTGCTTTTGAAAAGGAATAACTAGAGGGGGCCAACCAGGAATCAAAGTAAACTAGACTTTGAGGGGTAGAACACCAACTCTTTTACCAAATGTAACCCAATTTTCAAAGTCTGTGCATTTACTCAAAGAGATACCCCTCCTATTTCCCTTCACCTTTCTCTTTTAAAAACTCTTCAAAGTTCAAAGTCCAAAGACCAATCCCATATATAGGAGTGAGCGTTTTCAACACGTTACTGTATGGACTATGGACTAGCCAGCCAAATTTCAAACCCCTTTTCTTCTTTCTTCATTCTTCATTTCTCCTAACCATTTCGTTGATCAAAAGTAGACAAAGGCCATAGTTTATTAGCACCAGAAAAGATGAGCCGAGGTGAGGATATTGCATATGATTTGGTTTTGGTTCTTCTTTCAATCTCTCTTTTCATTCTTGGTATCTTTCTCATCATCATCTGTAGAAAGAAACCGGTAAAATCTGATCCAAAACAAGAACTGCCTGTCAAGGTTTGTGCAAGCGCGTATCAATTAACAGATATAGATGCAGCGACAGATGGCTTTAACCATAGAAGAATCATTGGTAAAGGCCGTTTAGGTACTGTTTATGCAGCCATATCACCAAGAGCGGAGCTCGTTGCGGTAAAAAGGATACATCCGCGGCTGGTTTTGAGCAATGCTGGATTCGGGTTTGCTTCAATAATCAGAACACTTTCTTTAGCTCAACATCCTCACATAGTCCCCATTATAGGGTTTGCACAAGCTCCAGGTGAGAGAATTATAGTAATGGAGTTTGTTGGTATGGTGAATTTGGATTTTTATTTGCATGAAAACTCCGACGGTGCATCATTATTAGATTGGAACAGGCGTTTAAGGGTTGCTGCCGGGGTAGCCAGAGGGCTTGAGTATTTGCATGAAGGGATGGCACCAAATATAATACACGGCTGCATTAAGGCATCAAATATATTATTAGATGTGAAATTTGTTGCTAAGTTATGTGGATACGGGCTATCATTTTTGGCACCCCAAGAGAAGAAAGGGCTCGTTGGGTATGTAGATGATGAGTATTGGGTCGAAAGAGGAGGCGGTGCTTGCAAGGAAAGCGATGTTTATGGCTTTGGGGTGGTTTTGTTGGAGCTTTTGACTGGGAGGAGAAGCGAAGAAGGGTTGCTTGTTAGATGGGCATTGCCATTGATAAAGGATAAAAAGCTTAGTGAACTTTTGGACCCTCGACTTGTAATTCCATCTGATATAAAACCTCTTGTTAGACTGGCCAAAGTTGCTTCGGCTTGCGTTGGTAATTACAGGAAGGATAGGCCTTGTATATCCCAAGTGGCAACCATCTTGAACAATTTGGAAGTTGAGGCCTGCCATTAGCGTATTTAGCCAAAAGCTCCAGGTATACACCACCATTCTTTCAACTCTATGGGAAGCAATTTTGATCTTTGAGGATATTGCTTCTTTTCGGGGGTTATCCTATGAGAACAGCGTGAGTCTGAAATAGAGAAATTGGAAATATCGGGTTTGTTTTTGACTTTGATCAGTTGATGAGATAAACAGCAAAATGAAGAGAGAGTACACACGTGGGGTGTCTACAAAATGGGTGTAAGATAAGAGCTGGCAAATGAGGACGAATTTTGTGGGAAATATTGAAAAGGGAAATTACGAGATGTGCAAAGAGGGGGGCCAACGTGGCTTCAACTGCCTGGTCTTGGGGCGTTGATTATTAATCTTGTGTTTCCGTGTGGAAATGGGGCATCGTTTTTTGGTGGTGAAAGGGGGACCACGAAACAAGAATTTTCTTTTTTTTCCTTAGATTTCTTTCAATCAGTTCCTTATTTTGGCTTGTCATGGCTCCATCATTTGACTATACTTTTCATGTAAATCATTAACGAATAATCATGTTTAATAGTTTGTACAAGTCTTTTAAATTATAAAATTATTTTTTGGGATCCCATATCATCTTGATTGGACTTTGATTGAGACATTTGTGTCATTTGTGTGTGTCTCTTTCTCTCCAATTAGTCTTTGTCCAAATTATCCAATTAGTTCCATTTGAATGTAAATTAAACCCTTAATTCTTCAGTAGATTCTGTTTGCTTTGTCAATAATCTGTTTAGACAATCATGCAAAACGTTTGTTCCACAATTATTTATTAAGCCCTAATCTCTTACTATTTAAAGTTTCAAAATGTAGCAGAAAAAGCAGTGGATGTAACTAATGGGATATGGACCGTGGAATGTCGCCCAAAATACATCTATAAATAACTCAAACCTAACAATTAAAGTATTAATAGTATTGAAGAAGAATAAATGGTGGTTTTAATTTCTTGGCATTGTTGTTACACTTGCAAAAAAAGCTTTGGTATGGGAAAATTAGGATCGAAAAGTTCCTGTGAGAAATTGTTGTGAAAAGTGTGGTTTGGGATTTTTGAGTATATGGTGAAAAAGTATTGTGAAGGGTTAAAATTTAATGTTTGAAAACGACATTATGATAAAAAATAATAACATTTTTTTTTATATTTTTAAGTGATTATTGTTAAGATGTAATAGAAATAAATTATTTTTAGATCGTTTTCCAAGTATTAAAATTGCTTTAGATTATAAATTAAATAGTTTTATTCTTGTTATTTTTATTTTTTAAAATGCACTTAATTTTTATTTGAAATTTAAATTATTTGAATAATTAAAATGATAAATTTGCATTTTAAAAAAAGTATAAATGATCTTTGGTAATTAAAAAAGCACCTCTTGCAATTCGCTTTAAAAATAGAATGACATGACATTGTGACAGAGTAAGAATCCTTTTTGACGCTACAAATGTCATGCATCCCAAATAGGAAGAGATGTATTGGTTGTGATTTAGACATATAATTAAGGGTCTTTCTTCATTAAATAGATAATTTTTTTTTGAATTAGAAATATGGATATGTGACAAATAATATGAGAGTATAAGTTATTTTAAGCAAAATATATATTCTCATTTTTTTAAGCTTTAGTCAAAATTTTAAACAAATTTATTAATTTTTAAAATAAATACTCCATCTTATAAATACAAATATAGTTGATAGAGATTAGTCAAAGATTAAAATAATTTTTTTTATTAATTTTAAAAATTATTATTACATTTTTAAAAAAATTTAAAAAGAAAGCCCAAGAAAAGGGACCTTGATCAAGACTCTCAAGGGAGCACCAGTGCTCCCCATCTAGGGAAGTTTTTTTTCAATTAATAAGAAAATAAAAAATTGTCATAATAATTTTAAAAATAAATCAAAGGTTGTCAGGTTATCAAATTGATAGAAACATTAATAATTGATTAACGATTAAATTTAGTGTCTAATGAAAAATATTTTTTTGAATGAATTGTCTATTTTAAAAACAAGTAGATTTTTTTTTTAATTTTAATCAAAATTAAAAAAATAAAGATATTTTACCTTCAATTTTTTATTGATGTAGAATTCTCATAAATGATATATTAAGGCAGAGATAAGTCTGAACCAAACTGGGTCTCTCTCTTATATGAATAAAAGGGTGGTAGAGTTGAATAACATATATTTCATATTAATAAAAGATGAAATGAATATTGAACTAAATAAATATATTTTTTTATCTTATAAATATGTCTTTTAAATTAAAGGTGTGAATTCATGAAACAAACACGGCATCATACAGCTGGTCGTTGGCCCTTGGGCCGAGAAACTGCTTTGGCCTGGACCATTTTTGGTCTTAGGAAAAGGGTAAAGAAAAGCATTCCCGGTACAGAGCAGGCTTAGCCCAAGTAATATGCCTGCTAGCTAAAGATTCTGGCCCATTTAAATGGTAAAAGTTATTTGCTAATTACATGCAAGAATAGGATTTAGTAGGGATCTTTCCATGTTTTTGAGACCATTCGATGGCTTCTTAAATCAGCAATAGGATCGAAAGTAGCTTCTATGGATTTAGTTTCCTGCAAGGTTTATTATGAGGAGATACTTCCACTTCCCTTTCCTCTCACCATTGAAGGGTTGGATTTATGAGAAAGTGAAAATGGATTGATCCACCCATTTTCCTCATTTCTTTCTCTTTCTTTTCCACCAAAACAAAGAAACATAGTTTTTTCTCTCCATAGAAAATATAAGATAGTAACATTTGCTCTCAAGGTTGCTGGTAGTTTCATGGAACTTTATTACTGGCTCCTTTTGGTCAAGTCTTGATTCCAACATACCAGGTGGTTGGAGCAGTTGATGCTTTATGGTGTTGAGTTTTGACAATTACAGTCATAATTAATTAATCAAATCTTAATATGAACTATAACATAATTAAGTAATACATTAAAAAGAAAATAATCAACAATCAAACAAATATATTGGGTGTACAGTTAAAGAAAATTCAATACCTTAGAGGAATTAATGTTCTACCGTCTTACATCAAGATAAGATTGCATTGTCATAGACTTAATCTCAATTATTCATATACATTTATATATATATATATATAAACTAAATATAATTTAGATATGATTTAGTGCAATGTATTATTTAAAAAGCATCACTTACTTGCCATTTATGATTAACATCAAATAAATCCACATAAGTAAATAGATGGAAATTACTTGCTAGGTATAAGTAGCAATTAGCAAATAATACCAAAAGCTTGCTAGCTAAGTAGCAAATTAACACTTGTTAATCAAGAAACTTTACACGTAAATTGAAGCCTATTGGCTTGATCATCACTAATTTTTTTTAACTAAAGGTGTTTGAATGTCTTTATAGTCTCATGAAACAGATAAAAAAGAAGTTGTAATCCATCATAAGAAATCATTGATTACTTCCCATTTGCTGTCACTGAATTCGATTGCTTCAATTCCTAAATCATTCCTTCATCATAATGGAAATGCAAAACACAATCCCATTTCAGAAAAAAAAAAATTCTAAAATGGACCTCTCTTTTCGATATACTTTCATGACAACCTTTTCAATATTAATATCATTCATAGGCAGGACGCGTTGCCTTTGCAATATATAATGTAGTGATCATGACGGGACTGGAGGGCATCCTCATCAATTACCATGATTTTTACATTTAATTGGGATTTAATTCGCAGTACGTTGTGTTTTTCAATCATAATTAAATGAAGATAGCGTAACATTAATTTGGAAAGCCTATTTCATTAAAAACTGATAATATTCGTGTTAACTTTTAGGCCATGCAAATGCTTAAGCTCAAGGGTTAAAAAGAATTGTTCAGTGAAAAAAAGTTGGAAGATGCAGAGAAGTCGGTGATTTCCATTGAAAATAGATGGCATTGAAGAGTTTATAAAATCACGACTTTTGAAATGACCTTTCGCTTTCAGTGCTGAACGGAAAGTGTGAACCATGTATCAAATGCTTGAAAATGATCTTATGTTTGCCTGGACATTGCATGCCGTGTTTCCACTATCCCCAAACTTAGGTTGCTCATTAAGCTTTGGTGAACAAAACCCATCATTCTCTTGATGATTAAGTACTTCTCCATGGAGCTTTCAAGTTCTTGGATAAACAAAAAAAAAAAAGGAGGGGGTTTTTTATAAGGAAATTGTATGAACAAAGAGCAACTGATCAGACAGACGCAGCCAAAACCTGCGAAAGGGGACAATTATTTGTATGGAGGTATCTGGGAAACAAAAACACCTTTTTCAAACGGGGAACATAGCACATCTTGACAAAGTCCCCCTCAAAATAATAATAATAAAAAACCCTAAGCCATACGTTAAAGTTGAAAGCTTAACAAAGAAGTTTCTTCTTGTTGCGTGGCTTCTGAGGGAAGCTCTCCAAACACATGAAAGATGGAAAACCCTTTAATATTATCCGTAACCTGTCAATGTCGGCTATGATAAGTTAATTACGTGAAGGATTGTGATTTTCCACCTCCTACAGTTGCTTGCCTGTCAGCCATTTGATCCAAAAAAGCTACATAATCAGATCATCTTTGCCCATGATGAGCGGGGTTTTAAGAGAGCAAATATACGTTCAGAAACGTGCAGGCTACTGATATGATTTCATTATCCAAAATTTTCTCCTAGCTGCTGATTGGGTATATTCGTGTGCCTAAAGCAATCTTTGGCACTTGCAAAAACTTTCAATATACTATAAATAATAATACTAATTATAAAGGAACTTACCACTGTAAATTGTATATATATAATTAACAATAAAATACAATACATTTATATAATTGTCACCAGCTTGAAAGTTGGTGCAGGTCATGTTACACCAGAAATATACTAGAATATTACATCACAATATTAATCTCTTGTAATTACGGCTATAGGAGAACTTCAATTCAAGCCTAACATATAACATACATATCTAAAGCTGAAAGAGAGAGAGAGAGAGAGAGGGGAAGGTGGTGATTCCTTGCTTAACATGAGAAGTCTACGTGAAGAAATGGGATTAATTTGTTGGTTCGTAGTTTCTGTTACAATAATATAATATTTGTATAATTTCAACAATTTTATTTGGTTTTTCCATAGCTTTAAGAACACTCCAGTTTGACACTGGAGCTAAAAGCGTTTTTGCTCAGGAAATCGCCATATCTCCCTCTCAAAGGAGGTAAAATGTCCTGGAAAGAGTACCCTGGTTGCCCTATCTCCACTCAACTCTTTCTTCCAATTTTATTTTAATTATTTTGGTTAAGTCAGTTATTTATTAAGCTTTTGAATTAAACCAGTGTATATCCCTTCTCATGTTTAGACCTACCCGTAAAGCAAGGTACCCGGTCGAAGACTTGCATTTATTCTGTCATACAAGCGTATATACGTTAGCATAACCAAACTTGACGTCCAAGCAACATTTATTATAATTTTTTTTAGAATTAAAATGAATAAATCCCATTTGCTCCTTTCATTTATACCGCCTATGAATCTTCTCTCTTTCTCTCTCCCTCTCCCTTTCTCTTTCTCTTCGTTTGCCAAGAACTAGGGAGTATACAGCAACAGCTGGCTATACCCTCAATCGCAAGGAGAAAATTAAAAAGAAGAATAAAAGAGCGTGGAAGAATTAAATTCGTTGCCAAACATCAAGAAAGAAAAAGTGGGTAACTGAAAACGTGCTCTAAAAGAGACAAGTTTTGCTTTACTTATTTTAATTATTTTTATTTTTATTTTATTTTATTTTATCCATCTTTTGTTTTGGGTTTTGGTTTCTGTTTTATGTGCCAATCTTTGCTAGAATTTTCGCGTGCGAGTTGGAGAAAGTGGGGGAAGAAGCTACAAGCAGAAGAAATCAGCTTTGTGATGGGAATAAGAGCAGAACAAGAGAGATGACATGGTGCAATAACTCGACGATGATAGAGCTCTACAGTTAGTTACAGCAGCCCGCCAGTACTAAAGAAACCGCCTCCGTTTCCGACACCAAAACCCTATATTCCGAATCATTATTTGCCCTTCCTGTGGCCATAACATTCCCTACCAAGATCAGGTACATATTCATAATCTCATTCTGCAGTTATTTATTCCATACAGTTTGATGCATATACTTTACTAATATTTTATTTTCATGCTTGGGGTTAGGCGGGAATCCATGATTTGCCGGGGTTACCAGCGGGGTGAAGTTTGATCCAACTGACCAGAAATTAGAGCATTTAGAGCAAAGGTATATCTATATGCGCAAGCTTCACGTTGATTGATGAGTTTATTCCAACGCTGGAGGGAGAAAATGGGATTTGCTACACTCATCCAGAGAGGCTGCCAGGTATTTTGATGCTTTTACCTTAATCAGCACTACGCCTGTCAATTTAGCTCCAAACGTACTAGCTTTCTGAGTTCTAGGGGTTTCCTTCAACTGCTTTTCACTTGGAATACATAGCTTTTCGTTCTGGTTTTGTTTTTCTACTTTGCTTTTAGGGTACATCAACGATCTGTGTATCTTGTTTCTTTTGGCCACTATGGATCAATGATCTATGTTGGTAGATGAATTTTAGATGGGAATGGATTCTGTAAGTTACTTTACAGAATCCAGTTAAGTGTATTGTAAGAAAGCACCTAAGTTGGCTAATTCTAATTGCCAAAGATTTGCTGGTGTGGACTGGTCTAATTACGTGAGATCCTTTGGTCCTACTCAAGCCATAAATTTTCTCAGAGACATGTGACTTAGGCTTAGCAAATAAAGGTAGCATTACGCCCCTTGCTTAACCCTAGGATCTAGGCATTGCCCTTCATCATTCCTAGCTAATTGGCTTAAAATGGCCTAACTGGTTGTCAAGATGGCAATGAGTATTCAGTAACCAAACAAAGTACATCTTAATTTCCTTTCTGACTCATACAATTAAGCTATTCACTCCGATTATAGTTCCTTGCATAAACTAAATCCTTTGATCTGTTTACATTTTAATGGTGAAGGAGTGAGCAAAGATGGGCAAATTCGACACTTCTTTCATCGGCCCTCCAAGGCATACACAACCGGGACTAGGAAGAGAAGAAAAGTTCACACGGATGAAGATGGAAGCGAAACAAGGTGGCATAAAACAGGCAAGACCAGACCAGTTTTGGTTGGTGGGGCAGTGAAGGGTTTCAAAAAGATTTTAGTACTCTACACCAATTACGGCAGACAAAGGAAGCCTGAGAAGACCAACTGGGTGATGCATCAATATCACCTTGGCAACAATGAAGAAGAGAAAGATGGGGAGCTAGTGGCTTCAAAAGTATTTTACCAAACTCAACCTAGACAATGCGGTCCAAGTAGTGTTAAGGATGCACTTAATAGAAAGTTGAAAAATCGAAGCCGGCATGACCAAAGTCCTATACCTAAGAGTAGCAGCACGGCTCTTGTTCATGAGTATTTCAATCCACCTTTTATCCCATTCGACCATGGGAGCCATAATAGAGAAAGCCCACCTCCACTAATTCCAAATTTGGTTGTTCAAGGTGATGGATCTTCCTTCATTCGATTAGCCTCTGATACAAGCAAAGGGAGACTTGAAAGAAAATTATAGGAATGGGAGGATCGATCAGCATTTGGTAGAGCAGCTACGACAAGGACTTATTTGGTTGGTGCTGTTGCTGTTGCTCTGTAATAGTCAAATAAATTATTGGATTGTGATTTTGCATGAGGAAGGAGGGAATGAAGAATAAGGTGGGAATGGCTTCTTTTCTTAAAAGATAAAAGAGTCAGATGCTTTGGAAGATTTGCCCATGACCACGCTAGCTCTTGAGCAAAGGACCAGGCAAGGGAGCAGCTGGTGCCCTATTTGTATACCCATTTCCGTAATATTTATTTATATTTATATTTTTTTGACCATATTCTATCCATTTATAAGGTTTGATGACATTTATAAATTTATAGTAGGATTGTACAAAGATATGACTCCTATAAACTTCTGCTAGTAGTCCTATAGATCTTAGTTTTATTTATCCATTTCTCATATATATATTGTGTTAGAAACTCATGATCACTGCAAAATTTCAACTGTTTCGAATTCTATAAATCATGGATTCTTTTGTGCGATTGTAAATGTGTATCATTCATCTAGGGTTTTGTTCATTCCCATCTCCCATTTTCTCTAAGTGTGCACATTTATATATTTTGTTTTTTTAATAACTTTTACTTCTTCGGCAGAACTAGAATTTACATATCCGAAATTACAGATGTAAAATATCATTGCATGTTTAAAATATTCTAATATACTGTATAATGTATTTCATTGTATCTTTATAAATTTTATTTGAATTTTAAATTATTGATATAACTAAATTTTATAAATTTGAGGTAATTTATAAATTCGTTAAAAATGTGTAATACAAATAATTGATAATTAATCTTAAGATTGAATATCCAAAGAAGAGCCTACATCTTTTTAAAAAAAAAAATTTTTCTAACTTGTTTTGGCTAAGTCCAAATAAATGAAGAGAATTCATGGTTTATTCCGCTCCCGGAGAATTAGATCTTCCTTGTGCGGACATGGGATGGTGCAAGAAGAATATATGAAGCATACTTGAGTGAAGTCTTTTGGTGGTCCAAGCGAAATTACGAGCTGAAAGGGTGAATCTCTAGAAAAGACAAACAAAAGACATGTGAATTCAATGACTATGATAGTTCCTTTAGGCTTAGAAGGTTCTAGAAGACGAGCATAATCACCGACTTGCATCTCAACATGCATATTTTTAAGT